CGACACTCGAACTGACATGTATACACATCAATGAAGAAATGTCAACACCTGTACTAGGAAGTCGTCGAGTTCCATTTCTTGACATTTTTGGTAGAATCATGCCTGGTTGCCCGACGTTTAGCTTTTTGTGGAATTTGCATCCGCCATACTATTAGTTTTTGCCCCTGGTAACTCCGCAATCCATGGAGTAATTTGGTATTTGAAGAATGAGCGATATACACCGAGAAGTATTGGATCTCGTTGAAAAAGTCCCAAATGGGGCTTTTAAGTCAGAATAACTTGCAACCTATACTAATTAGAATGTAAGTTCGCCCAATGTTTACTAGCAGTTCGAATTTTTAACAGAGCGATAACAGACTGCATAAAAGACGTGACGTTGCGGATTCTCCGCAACCGAGAAGCTTTCGTAGCATTCCAGCACTTCAATGTGAACCTTAAACTATGGGCCGCTTCTTTCAGATTTCACCCCAACCATGAAAATTGAATCCGCTCGGGATATGATATCCAATCGTCTTCCTGAGGATAACTACCGCCTGCTAAAATACTTGATGGAGTTTCTGCAAGAGGTAAGTACTAAATTGTCTCTGTAAACTCGAGTTAGAAAGCTCAGGGACAATTGCGTTAGCCAGAAGCCATTCGCACTTAACTCAGTGCATCTTATGTTTGGTGAGACGTGACTCTTGACATACATTTGGTGGTAGATTTCAGGCTAAAAGGTATTAGCCTCGAGCTGCTCTTGTTTGGATTAATAACCGATTCAACCCAAAATGCAATGGGTGGCTTTCTTGTCCTGGAGTAATCAAAAACAGGATCCTTTGGACCGAAATCTTATTCTTAAACCTTTTCTGACATGCCATTACCCAGTCCTTGTTTGCGAGATTCACAGATCAGACTGGAGGGTTTGGTGACATCATCCGTTGTGAGAAGGTCGATTGTGATTCGCTCCACAGTCCACGGACAGTTGAGTGGGATCCCTCACCATACCGTTGTCGGTCGATTAATACCAACTATGGGTTGCTATCTATGGAGCTGATTCATCTTATCGGTGTTAGTTTATAGGTTTCATGGAGTTATAGTAGCGTCAGACCCTAAGGGTCACAGCGTAAATAACTTATCCTGAACAGATGTAGGCAACATCAGATCTGAGAACTATATCAAGTAAGTCCTAAAAGAAAATTCGCACAGAAATGTTTAAAACCATCAGCCCAACCAAACTCCTTCAGATCTATAAATCAGCCTGTGAAAGTTTAGGACGAGAAGCATTTTTCGTGTGTCCATTTGAAGGCTTCTCATTCAAAAACGGACGCAAAATGGACCCCACAACACACGAAATTAGCATAGCGAAGATGGGGATCATGACCACGATCAAAAGGAGCGACCCGCAGACAGGATTCAGGGACAGTGCGATTTTAGACCATCTGCGGCAGCTGCAAAGTCAACATTACGCGGCCCGTCATCTAAGTAGCTGACCGCTTAAACACGAGAATTTACTTTATTGGGGTTAGTCGCCTCGTCCGCGGAGATATTTCCAAACGGAAATGACAGAAATCTTGAACGAATTTATTTTTCGGCAAGTCGAATGCTTACTTGGACAAGTGACTCCAGACTATTTCAGTAGCTGAGGCGCGAGACATTGAAGAGACAGAGAAGTCGCGGAAAGCATAATTTATAATACCGATAAAGCTTTTGAAAGGAACACCGTGAATTTATTGGATGTCTGGTCGCATACATGCCTCAATCAAAAGACCAAAATCATCAACTAAGTGACGCAACATTGACGGAACCCCTGTCCTCGGTCAGACCATGAAAAACATTTTGCGGAAATGCGGAGCCTAGGCAATCATTAACTGGAAACCAGCATTCACGACGTCTTGTGTCTACATAAATCAAAGTGCAATTAGCACTTTCCATCTGTTCAGTACTCTTCTCAAATTCAGTACACCGCGTACACCAAACTCTCTGAAGCGTGGTAAAAATGCAAAAATTACTTCAAAGAAGGCTCAGAGGGTTTAATTGGAAAACCAAGCCTTCTATGCGTTACACTGACTGGAAATTTTAGATGCCGTGTCGCACAAATGCGAATTGTTGCGTAGAACACTACCCACTCATACAACTTACTTGCCTTTACATACAGCTCTGTAATTACTTGAGGCGTTAACCGTCCTTATTCCTCAGGCGATTATTATACCGTGCTGCTGTCAAGACAAGGACAAAAACATGAATTAGTCTTGAAAGCGGTGTGTGGGCGTCCACATGTTGCAACTTTTAGCCTGGGAGGCGTTTCTGTGAAAACCGAAGGCAGCTGCATGTCTGCTCAGCATGGCGCCAAATTTTAAAGCGGTCGGGCACCGTCTCAGCAGACGTGATCAGTCAGTTAGAGAAAAGGTCGGTATGAGCCGTGTTCCTTATCTGTTCCATCAGATGGTGCGCTTGGATGCACGCGTAGAAAATCTCTCCCGAATGGCCGATCTGTCGTCTTCCTTACTCACTTTCCGGAAAGTGTGCAGACCAGACAAGTCTTTTGTTCGCAATGAACTCTTGTTTACGGCGAATTTCTGAATACACGGATATTTTGTAAAATGCATGATTGAGGCTTTCAAGCCCAAAGCCAACAGAAAACGGCATAAAACAGGTGTTGTTATACTGGCAATTTCTTCGGTTTCCAGACGGCCTGCAAAAACAAATGAAGGCAATGAGTTGTCGGCTTTTTACTTCCAAGGCCTGCATAGTAGTCTTCCTCAATCGTGCGGGCTGTTTACTCGGGGAAGGTTTTGAAGAGTAGTCAGCTCCTGGGAACTTGTTTCACCTATAACTGTCACGTTTCGTGTAATTGGAGGGATGGCCTGCATTTTGGACGGAGAACTAGACGGTCCCAAACTCCAGCCAAATGGTCCGCATGGGCCAAGCGCATTCCCAGGTGGCATTGATCGGTCGGCCGCGAGGGCACGAGGCACACTGAGCGGTGTGACCGCTTGGCAGAGAAGCGAAGGCCCATAGACAACTGCAACTTTGCTGGTAGGCTCCAGAAGACTTTTGCTCAGTCTGGCCGCAGTGTGGACAGTTGGGCAAAACGTCTTGTTCTAGTTAAACAAAATCGACTGCATTCCGCACACATGAAATTGCGCGGCAGTGGGCTCTTGGGAGGTACCGACCACTCTGAACTTTTGTCGGAATGTCACTGCTCTGTTCTCAATAACTCTAACATGCTTTGTGTACCTAGTCAACGGCCCTCAGCCAACGGCCCTGCAGTCAACGACCAAGAACCCATAAAAGCGACTGAACAGTTGTTGTCCGGTTAAACGAATTTTCAAGGCCTCAGTAAACAGACGCGTTTGGAATAGCCGAAGGTGGGATTCTCGGTGCCTATTCACGCACTGGACGATTCAGATCCAGCTGGAAGCACGCTCTCTCACCTTCCGCTTCCTCCATTCTGCATCTCGCACCACGAATTACATCAAAAGTCTGACACGACAATCGATTCTCAACGTATAAGTCATCTACTTCTCAATTTCAACAGAAAAAAGTCGTTCAGATCAAAAACAGGCTCGTCTGGTGAATCTAGAGGGAACGAGCGTTAGTTAGTCCGCACGGCTGTCGGGCAAGACTGCGATAACAAAAATAGCATACAGAACTGGATTCGTGAAGATCGGGACTCCTTAGCCGTGTCAGTTCTCAATTTCACTTACAGTGTATTTATGTGTCTTTTAACCGTTGAAATTCCACATCAAACTAAATCTGCGCCATTCTGATCCCCTTCAACAGGTGAGTGCACACGCGGCCTCCAACAAGATGACTGATTACAACCTTGGGATTGTCTTCGGTCCAAATCTCCTTTGGTCCAAATTCGCCAATGTCGCTTCCTTCGCTGCCGTTGGTCAGATAACCACTTTTGTTCAACTACTTATTTCCAACTTCGACGATATTTTTGTGAAGTAAGCTGTGTAGAACACTTTCAGTCAACCCAGATTATATTTATTTGAGAGTAAAAGAACAACTGTCAGTCCACCTGGCCTCCTTTAGCTGACACAATGTTCTCTTGTTTCGTTATTTTAACCCATATGAGCCTCTTCTTGTGTACTTTTTAAGCCTTCAAAGTTCTATCATCACTCAATGAAAAAGCCTTTTCAACGCGCCTAAATGCAAGTGGACGGCACGCTGATACTTAAATTCCCACCTTGCTGAGACCAGATCAAATTTTCAATCTGGAAAGATGGACAACCGCAATGATCTTCAAAATTCAGGGCTGCTCTCCCGTATTCCCACGTTGACCCCAACCTGAGACGTTAGGCTGTAAAAATCCATTTTTCAAACGGTCCTACAGCATTTGCAAACATAAAAACCTCAAGAGTGAAGGTAACTGGGAAGTGCGAGATAAACTTTGCCATAGAAACCCCGTTCGGACGACACGATGCCTTGGGAAATTAGGAAACGTCGAGGTGACACGGATCGTGATTATGTTGATATCAGCCAGGACTACTGAAGGTGATCAAGTGAACGGTGGATTTGCCAACTGTGGCGTTTACAACGATTGCTGCGGTGGAAGTTTTGGCGACTTGAGTAAAACCAAGTTTTGCGTACCCAGCCCAGTTTCCAATACTCTGCCGCGGCGGTGTAAGGTGGTGTGGCAGCATGTCTGACGCACCAATTTGACATACCTGTGGACATGGATACTTTGCGCAGCCTTCGAAAAACCCATATCAATGCTGCTTCTCGTACCAGACTCTAACTTCCTCTAAGCAACGAATCGAAAGATGCACCAGAGGAAAGTAGCAGATGTTTACTTCTGTCAGCATAAAGCCTGAGATATCGGCCTTGGTACTACGTTAGCAAAAAAAGCGGAGAGGGTCAATCATCCAGTCAATATCATTGTGCGGAGAACACAGGGAGCAGAACGTTACACTTTTGGTCTTAACGTAAATTGCACTGTCAGCCTATGTTACAGAAAGCGGCCATGCATCATGCGGAATAAAGAGGGCTTGACCAATCAATGGACCTTGGTCTCAGTAGTCATCCTCATCAGAGTCGATGGCGGCTTTCCTTCGGTCAAACTGAAAGCTATTTCGCAACTGTTAAAGGAGGTTTACCTTGACAGTAGTCGATTGCTTGGAGCTGGAGGCTATCTGGGTGAGAAGACCTTTCAATTGTTCTTCTGTTACCTGTGAAAAGAGGAAGATGTGGTGACATCATTTCGGCCAGAACCTGGATTCTCATTGTCAAAAGGAATGAAATTTCCACAAAACTGTTGAAAATGGTACTATGTTAGTCCGTATACAGTTGCCTGCTGGCTTTTCACTTGGCCGGCCTTCAGTAATAAACACACTCCAGACAAATTAAACAAGTAGCACATAATCGCAGGTACCCATACAGAGACTAACCACAGAAATGGGCGGACACCAACGCTCGGCTTCTTAAAGCAAACAATTTCCGTTAGACTGTCGGTCGCACGGCGACAGAGCTAAGACTAGCAGTGGGATACCAACAAAGACGAGAGTAGACCGAGATAGTTACAGTTTTGGCTACGTTTACGCCCACTTGGGAGTTGCGTTCATCTCTGTGGCCTGGTTGCAGGACCAATGCGGACGTTCCAGTTTGCCACGGCGCTCCGGCAGAAAACCTTCCGTGGTCGTCATATAGCGACGAGCCATCAACAGTTTGAACGTGTTACCAACAAAGGGGAAGTCGAATGGCCGCTCCCAGGTTGTTTATCGTCGTCATTATAATGTTGGATGCAGAGGCTCCATAGAGGAGCTGCAACACAAAGTGGGAGGCCCTATCTTTCCCTGTAATCTAACGCCGAGAGCCAACCCCTTTCAAAAAAGGACTGAAAACAATGAATGAGAATCGCGTGACAGATCTCGCCTTGAAGCAATATTTCCCGGAATAAATTTAAAGCGAGCAAGGACAGCAGAATTTAATGGTACCAGAAAATTTCGCGACGGCTTCTCAACTGCAGCCTGTCGTTGCATAACACAAATAACAAGTGAGAAAGGTAAAGAGATTTGAATTTCGACAGAGAAAATCATGGTAAAACATCAAGGTCAACGTATACTGCGCGTGGGCTAATCAATAAAATGATAACTTCATTTTCTGGTGCTATCAAATTCTGCTGTCCTTGCTTGCTTTAGATCTCGCCCTGTTGGACTCAGGCATATATGATGTATAGGCGAATCTGGAGAGAACAGATATCCTTCTTCAAGTCTCTCGGCTGTTTCAGTTAGTTCCAAATTTTGAAAATAAAAGAATTATAGGAGAGCTTTCAGGGAACCTGACGGTCAAGTAGCTCGAAGACTCCGAGAACACGCATAAGTAGGGGTCCAGCATAGGAAAGCACATGAGTCGAATGTATTTCCGAAAACTGAATGCTCCACTTACTCTAATAAACTATGGGTGCACTCTTCCGTCAGGTGCTATGAAGACAATTTTCTGTGTGCTCCTTAAGCAATACTTTAAACCTGATTGAGACAGATGCAAATCTCCAAAAAATGGCCAATAGGTCGCCATCATGCAGTTAATGTAAGGGTGTTTTCCACGAGCGTCTACAAGTAATGCAATCTTCGACGGGGAGACGGGAGAAGAGATCTAGCGCACGAAGACAGAGGAGACGGAGTGCAATCACACAAAAGACGTGGCGGTCATTCTCAGTCCCCGTTTTCCACATGCTCCTGAAAATTCCGCAACGCACACGATCGACACGAGATCACTTTTGCACCGTTTTAAGGACACGGCACTTTGCACACACTAGAGCCAGACAAAGAAATGAGTCTTGGACGATGGCGACCGTAGCATGTGACTGCTGGACGCTAGGAAAGATTATGCACGAACCCCATCGTCCCCTCAAGGTAGAACTACTTGAGCCAATCAGCCGGTAGATCGCGGTTTATCCAGTAGTCAAAATGTGAACTCGGACAGTAAGGAGAACAAGGGATCGCCCCACGCGAGATCTAATTCTTTAGTGACTGCTAAAATTGCTGATGACGCCATTCGACGACAAGCTGCCAACGCCAAGTGCTGACACGTCGGCATGTCTTAGCGACCAAACAAGAATGATATGCAATACGTTGCAGAAACCACGCTGTCTTCGTTCTAAGCATGTATGCAGGGAATAGAAGCTCGATACACTCTTTTCCTGCTATTGCATTGACCATTTTGCCAGCTCGCGTGCGAACAGGTAACTTCAGTTTGTTGCAATTAAGTGGATACCCAGCCCGTAAAAGGCGATTAGATGGCTGGACACAAAAACTTGCAACGGCAAAAAATCGGTTATTAACTACTCAACTGCACGAGGTAAGCATAAGGCTCAATGTACTTTTAAAGCACTTCAAATTCACTCAAAACTGCAGCTTTGTAAAAGGACTCCGCGAGGAACTGGCTTCATGCTCCTAAAGCACGGCTGTAAGAGCATGATCCGTATGGTCATGAGATAACAAGGCTTTAGTTGCAAGCAGCCTTAATAAAGACTCTTTGGAGGATAGGCTAAATTAAGGTGCCGTCAGCACATGAGCAATTAAGACAATAGGAAGTTCTTTCAATTTTTGTAAGTCTTGGTTACAAACTGTGCGTTTTGAAAATAATGCCTCAGCATATCTAACTGTAATGTCTGATCAAAGAGTTCCACAAGGTGTGTAAGGTATCATACTATACAGAACAGATAAATTTGGAAGAAACTATTCAAAGGCTTAAGGACAATAAATATTAAATACTATGAGATGGAGCCGACAAAGACAAGGGAGACCGGAATGGCCATTTCTGGCTTATTAGCCGTTATCAGCCAGTCATACCCAACCCCAAGTGTGGATCACTTGAGATTCCCGATCACAACCAACAGGACAACGGGCCCGTGGCTCGATGGTAGAGCGTCAGACTCCATGACCAAAGATCCCGGGTTCGAATCTCAAGTGATCCACACTTGGGGTTGGGTATGACTGGCTGATAACGGCTAATAAGCCAGAAATGGCCATTCCGGTCTCCCTTGTCTTTGTCGGCTCCATCTCATCTATATCTACCACTAGTCGCTGTGCGACTGCCTGCGAGGGTTCTAGTATGAGCCCCAAGGCACAGCGGAACGAGCATGTTCCGTAACCTGATCGGTGAGCGCCCATCTGTCATCATTAAATACTATTCCTAAGCCAATTCACGCTTTTTGTGGGGCGACCCGTCGAGATTTAGCTATGGAACGTATTTGCACACACAAAATAGCCAAGAAACGTAGTCTCGAGAACGTCAATTGAAAAACCACTTTTCATGAAAGCCAAAAAATCAGCTAGGATTCCAGTATTTTGGTAAGGCGTCAATGGCCGTCTGTTAAGGAGGAAAATTAATGAATCTAAACTACGCACTCTATCACCAGAAAGTTTGTACGGACTCTGCGGGTATAAGTATCCTTGCAGTGCGGCTGTATAAATCAAAGCAGGACATGCTCCTTGGGATGCGATAATCCTGCTTTAATAAAATAGGCTACTAACTTTAAAACATGCAGAAACCCCGGAATCCGCTTTTGTTTTTTCATAACTTTATGAGGGGTTTCTACAAATTCACGGTCTGTTCCATGAATCCTATCGACTACTGCATCTAGTCCTAAGGGACGTAATGGATTCGTTAGCTTTACAGAGCGACCTTGCTAGCAAAGGCATCCCAATGTTTGTACATCTAACCCTTAACGGCCCACGAGGGAAAGGAACAAGGCTCCCCAGGGAGCTATTTCTCGCACTACAACCAGCGGCATGCAACAAAGCCCGAACGCTCTGTACGTCTTTTTATATATAACATCCTCAATGGTGTACTCGGACGGCGTTCTGGAGGCGTTGGAGAATTTAACCTCAGTTAAAGCAGAGTAAAGCAGAAATTGTCGACGATATTGCTCGATCAGATGGGAAGGCCGTCTGCACACAAGTGACGCTTACCACATCACAGGTATTTGGCCGGATAAATTTTATCATGCCTCTTCCCGTCCGATATGAATCGGTCCCACGGCGGGGGAATGTTCGATGGTTGAAATATATCCTAGAAGGCATTACTTCACTTACTCTATCGTTTAATTGCTGGCCGGTGCGATGCAAATGACCATCAGAAGAAAATAGACGAAAAGCTTTTCTAGTGATTGGCTTGGGTGTATGGTTACGCTGGTGCCCAAGCGTAAATTAGGCTATTGTCAAAATTAAAGTCACAAATATCACGCGGTTAATCCAGTAAAGCTGGTGGGATTCCGCCTAGATGTTCACTCCAACCTTAGAGGCGTGCCTGAAAAGGCCTGTCTACAGGGCTGCATTGTAAGTTACCACGCAACTTTCTGACGAAATTACAATCTCCACACAAAAGACGAATACGTATCGGGAGCCATGTTAAGAACACTGGAGGGCTCGCTGACGGTCCCAATTCATCGCAGTCGGGTCATGCATTTGCGAAAAATCGGAGGAGCACGTGCCTCAGATGTTAGATAGTGTCCGCACCAACTCGTGATATATGTCAACGTCAATCGTCTGGCAGATATAGACAAATTCGCGTATTTGGTATGCACCATTCCCATGAATGTCAAGAATGACGGTGAAATGGCAGCTCGAAACGTCAGAGGTGGCCCCAGTAGATCATAACATTCAATTTGAAATTATCATTCGGTTATCGTCCTAAAAAGGTTCCTCTAAGACGGCGAAGTCGAGCGCGATAAACTACAGCTACTACGACCTAAACTGGTGGGAAAGGATTCCGCAGACCCAGCTCATAGAAAGAACCGGTTTCCTTAGCATCTGTGTCGTGCTAAATTACAGAGCAGCTCAATGGATTTGCAAAGTCGTGAGAATACCTTATGAATGTCTGCTTAAGCAACTATTCTATTTTGTCATTACGAGTGTCCGCTTGTATAGTTGGCAAAAACGACCCAAAAACGCCACTAAAAATGTTCCACCAATGTACTCTTACCGAAGTTGCACACTACGATGCCGGTTGGCCCTGATCAGACGCACCCAAAGCCGTCACAATGAGTGCGCCTCCAGGATGCATGGCAACCTCCAATCACCCCACTACAGCGACAAGCAATCACTTAGCAGATCACGTCGGTTTGCCGAACCGTACGGCGTTTGTGGTTTTGAGATGAGGTGTACTGAGTGGTGCGCACGATGCAGAAACTGTGAAGTCTATCCGCGCGGGGTGCTTCCTCTCATCAGTTACACGGTTATAGTATACCACGACTGGACACGTCCCGAACGCTCAACGTCCCCAATACGCAGACACAGTTGTCTGCCAAATAACACTGCAGACGGTCTGGTCCAACACTTCAAATCATCGCATAACGACTGAGAAGCTGGCGCCACATCCCATGCCAACACCTGCCAGTAACGTACTACATGCGTGCACCATATGGATCGATTGGATACACTACTCCAGATTGCTCCTCAGGCTTTAAACGGTCTTTAATTTTCATGATCCTACTGCGCATGGTGGCTTTGGGGTGGTGTGCAATTCCAACTCCTAGCTCCGCAGCAATGGGCTCGGTTGTTTCTGAAACATCCTGGATGTATGACAGAGAATGCCATGTCGTTGGTGGTTTTGATGTTTGGGTTCTCTGGGGCGACTGCGTTGGCAGCGACTTATGAATGCCTCCGGATGGCCATTTTTCAAAAACCGTTCACATGAACGAATCAAGGAAACTCCAATGGGTTCAACTGGTCCTACTGGTCAACTCCACTCTCTCTTCCTCTCAGATGTGAGTGATCCGTCCGTGTTTGCAGGCCGACTGGTTATGAGTTGTGTGCAATAGCTGGTCTGGTGAGAGCTCAGTGCAAATGTATACCACACGTGTGTACGGCAATAATTTAGAACCAGGACAGACTCAGCACGGCCGGAATAACCCGCGTCATGATTCGATGTGATCCCAATTTTGATCAGGCGCAACAAAAAGGTAACCCACTCCAGGAGTCCACACATACTTTACCTATTTATACTCACATGTCTAACGACTCATTCTAATTTATCCCAACTGTGACCGCACATTGTTACCACGCGTAGGCCTGATCAGTGGCTTTTGAGTTCATCGCAATGCGACTGAACAACCGCTATCATGAGCACTGACCAACGTCGACAGTTCCGCTTTGGCTGATACAACTTCCTCGTAAATCCTGCCACTGCATAAGTCCATTCGGTCACATGTAAATACATTACGGCATTCATGAGAGCGTTACACAGCGTCGGTAGTTACGTGTCAGGCGGAAGATTCGTGCCAGTCGGCCGGTGTGACTGATCTTATCCCGAACCACATTAATTGAATTTGCGTTAATATTGAAGAATGGATATAGTAAATTCGGTCAGGTTCAGATCTGGTACTTATTTTCCCCGCTACCAAAGACGTAAAGCAACGCTCTAATTAGCAATATGAAAACATGGGAACGTAGGCCGTGAGGAGACAGAAAACCTTCCGAGAAATGTACTTCCTAGAGCGCGGAATAATTAGGTTAGTTAACTGCAATCTTAACTCTCAATCACTAATGCGGTTTTTGGCTCGAAAGAACTAGATTGTTGAATAAAGAGTCGTCTTATGTTTTGCAAACAAGAACGTAACATAAAAAATGACTAAGATTTGGTTTCTGAAAACAAAATTTCACTGCTCGGACAGAAGAAATAAAGAATCAGCTGAAGTGTGTGTGGTCACCCATAAACGGTTATGGGATAAGGGAGCACGCAAAAGGCCTTCCTATCCATAGTTCGCTTTTAAGTCTTAGTTAAGAATACAAGCAGGAAACAATAAACGTTGGGGTAAACAAGGGGTCAATATGAAAAGCTATCAATATAATTAAAGGCAAACCGATCTGTAAACCGAACACACTTGATATCGCTAACATTAAACCATGTATCGGTTCGCCAAAAAAGCAGAAGAGACTCTAAACTATTGGCAAATCTGCAAAGCGTCTCATTTACAAGCAACGATAAGGACATACCTTTCCCCCTATCCTTCCCGTACGTGCCATGTTAATGAGCATATTTTCCACTGCCTTGGCCTTATCGGGTTTCGTCATTGCCAGAGTATTCACTGGGGAAAAAATCAACGTAAAGCATGAGGGTTACGGCGGGCTCGAGCATCCTGGTCAAGTATCCTGCTTAACATGTCATTTGTCATTTCTTTCTGTCTTTTCTCCATTTCCGCTTTCTGAGCTTCCTGTTGCGCTTTTGCCTTTAAAAGTAAAAGATTAACACGCAGGAACACACATTAGAATCTCCAGAATCATCCATCATAGGCATCATCTCGTCGACAGTGATCCGAAAGGCTAAATTGTTACCGGTATCAGTGTGTGATACACGGAATTCGTGATGATTAATGAGATGCTCCTGTCAGTTTCAAATTGCAAGTGAAGACAGTTGAACTAAAGAGCATATGGTACCCCGACTAGTATGACGCCTCTATTGTAAGATTTTAGAACACAGCTTGTACAATCAATGTGACCGGCGGAAAAAGGTGGAAACATGGTGGTCATCACTGTGGAGCAAAGACCAACAAAGATAACCTCTGAATGCATACACTACGTTACTCAATCCCTCGTCAAACCAAAATCGACGAGTTCTGTCAATAAACGACGCTATGTAGGCATTACAGAACGAAGATTTACTAACGATGTGAAGCATTAAGTCCGCTAAAGCCTGAAGACAACTGGCGGTGCTTTGGTTAATACGAATTTCTCTAGGAGAGCTCGTATCCCGCAGGTGTATCGGAGTCCAGAAAAAAGGAACACTTGAGGGAGGCCAACCTATTAAACGCATACAAAACTCATTTTAGCTGTAAACAGAGATCCTCAGGGTCGACGTTAAGGATATGTCTCCTTTCAGTTAATTACAAATAGGAAAAATTACAACGGTCAAAGTTTTTTTGCTTGCGCCCTCCCCCGCCTCCGGTCTTCTTGACCATGTCGCGACATCGGGTCCAGGTGCGGAATAGGAAGAGAGAATGCAGCAGATGCTGTGAACGTCTACTATTACTATAAACTTATTCACGCACATGTCACTGTCTCTGTTCTCACCCTGCTGTGAAGCACACGGTAGGCATCGTCGGTCGAACTGTCAGGGCATTTTGAAGATATGAATTCCATGAGTTGTGTGCATAAATTTGGACCGTGACAGTAGACAGATTAAAAGAAGAAAAGCTACCTGAAGGCTCGTGGGCCAAGCTCAAGTGGTGTCCAGGCAGTGTGTGTTGCATTTGCCGAGGGGTGGTATCCTAGCTGCTTAGGTTGTGGTTGCAGGAGGGCGATGCGTTCATGTTGCCGCATGCGTAGTCGCGACACTGTGAGGACGCAATTGTATTCGAGCTGAAGTTGGTAGAGTGACTTTTTAACAGCGAGTCTAGGACTGCTCGCTGCAAGGAGTGAATGACCTTGAGGCAGCGAGATCTTTAACAATGACGCCAGACCGGTCATGATGGCTGCTCGCTACAATTCCAACAGACCTACTAAGACATTAATTTAAGAAAGTATTTCAGTAGTAGGATTGCTTGTCTTCGTTTGCCTCTCCACACCAAAAGTGCGAACGCAATGCCGACAGGCGCAGGAGTGATTACTGGCTGGTTTCTGTTCATGTAGCATTTTATTCGCTGGAAGTCTGTACGGTTGGTATTCTTCCCCTACTTCCGATTATGACTACGGTGCTTCTTATGCTCGACCCTGCCGTTTATTTCACTTCCATCATTGTACCGAACGTGGTTCTGGTGAATTAGTATGCAGACTCTCTTTCATCTTCCTCCTATTTTGAGAAGAAGGTTAGTGAAAATTCAGTCTCTGGCGCCAAATTCTGCTGGTCGCTGTTGAGACAGCGTCCCCAGACTAACTTGCAACCTTTGCTGGAACCACATTTTAAATAACAGATAAGCACAGCCCCAAGTACGGGTGAGCTTATAATTTAAGCAACAATTATGATTGGTTTGAGACCGTTAGGATTGAAGACTGGTTGTGCATTTGCCCATATATTGTGGCAATAGCGTGTACAAGTAAAGTCTAATTAAATAGGCATTCGGTGCATAAGAGATTACGAAAGGGGTGTCCACAAGACTTTCAACAGCGAGCAGTATGAACGGGTCATGTTTAAACTATGTGAACTTGCTGCGCCTTAGATTACCCAAGACAACTCACCAAATAAGCCAATAATCTTTTGTAGGAATGCGGTTGCCGGTCCAGTTGAATCATTTTGCCCCTCGCATTCCAGGAGATATCCCCACACTCGCATTCCAAGTTGAGTTCTAGCACAAATAGGTCAGTATAGGTCAGTATATTTTAAGAGTAATAGGCAATGCCTTTGAAAACCCTATTGTAAACGGTACATGCAATATCTCACTGTAAATAAATATGGTACTGAAATTTTGTCAGTAATATATGCATCCAGCATAATATTTTCCGTGAAAATGTAGAACCAAAACTTGAGAAAAGATGATTTCAGTAAAATGTTATGAAAGTCATCCGCATCAGCGGTATGAGTATGCAAGGCTTTGGTTTAGCACCACAGAGCTGTTCTGTCCAGACAATCGATAGTGTCCAAGCAAATATGCATCGAGTCTTTGCTTGAACGTCTTCGTGGTATCCGCCATTATTACGTCCTCGGGAAGCCCGTTCCAGGCACCGACGACTCGCTGTGAAAAACAGTATTTGCGAACGTCCAGGCGGCACCGGGATCCTCTAAGTTTTAGAGAGTTCCCACGCAGGTTTGTTGTTGCGGCCAGGGTGAAGAAATCGTCGGGGTTTAGGGCACATTCCCGGTTCCTCAATATCCGATAGGCCTGTATGAGATCCCCTCGAACCTGCCTGTACTCAAGAGGAAAAAGTTTAAGTTCCCTAAGTCGGCAGTTGTAAGGTAAAGTCCTGAGGCCTTTTACAATTTTTGTTGCTCTCCTCTGAACTCTTTCGAGCAACTTATAGTCTTTATTTAGCCACGGGCGCCACGCTTGGATTCCATATTCCAAATGCGAACGAATGAACGCTCCGTATACTTTTCCAAATAACTCTTTGTCTATGTCCACGAAAGATCGTTTAATGGCAAAGAGAACACTAGTTGCTCTTTTGGACGCCCTAATACACTGAGATGAAGGCTTAAGGGTCGACAAAATGTTAATCCCAAGATCTTTTTGTTCAATTACATTTGAGAGGCACCTTCCACCAAGTTGGTAATGGTGATCCTCTCCGTCAGCTCTTCCAGTCGTTTTGAGTCGCAGCGCGACGCACTTCTCAAGGTTAAACTTTAGCAGCCATTTGTCCGACCATTCGCATAGGCGGTTCAGTCCTTCTTGCAGGGCCCGTTCATCATGTTCGCCGTTGATCGCTCGCCATAACTTGATGTCATCAGCAAACATGACTCCATTGCAGTCCAGTCCATTCATACAGTCGTTGACATAAATTAAAAATAGTACTGGTCCGAGTACGGAGCCCTGCGGAAGTCCACTCGCAACTGGCACTGGCGTTGACTTCGTATTACCAATACACACAGACTGTGATCGACCAGTCAGAAAGTCCTTTACCCAGTTTAATAGGTTTCCCCTTATCCCTGATTCTCGGACCTTGTAAAGTAACCGGTGGTGTGGAACACTATCAAAGGCTTTCTTGAAATCTATGTAAACGATATCATCCTTTGTTCCTGCGTCTAACGAGCGAGACCACTGTTCCGTTGAATGAAGCATATTAGTTAGGCAGGAGTGATTTCGTCGAAAGCCATGCTGAGAACTAGCAAAGAAATTATTTTCTTCAAGGAAGTTCATTATGGATTTTTTGACTATTCTCTCCATGACTTTGCAACAAATGCACGTTAGGCTCACCGGCCGATAATTGTTTGTACTTGTTCTGGATCCCCCCTCGTGAATGGGGTATATGTTGGCCACTTTCCAATCAGAGGGGAGAATGCCTCGGTCAAAGGACGACCTAAAGATGTGCCAAAGCGGTTTGGCGAGTTCGCAAGCCAACTCCTTCAGAACTTTTGCCGGAATTTGGTCTGGGCCCGGAGACTTGCCCTCCTGAAGCGCTAGAAGTTCCTTCCTCACATCTTCTTCCGTGAAGTCGATATTTTCTATTATTTCGTCGGTTGCCCCAGCAGGAGATCCAGCCCCGTCAAAGTCCGTTTCATCAGTGAAAACCGATACGAAAAAATGTTCATACTGACGTAGTTAATCCACCCAATCCTCAACGTCATCCCGACTAAAATACGTTGAAGCAAAAAAATTAATAGTAGTAGTAGTATTAGTAGTATTAGTAGTAGTAGTAGTAGTAGTAGTAGTAGTAGTAGTAGTAGTAGTAGTAGTAGTAGTAGTAGTAGTAGTGATAATAATAATAATAATAATAATGAGCGATGCCAATACAAGGGCATTACTCAAAATAGATATACGATGTACATCGAGAAATTGTCGAAGAAATTCCCCAGTTGGGTTTTAGATAAGTGCATCTACTTGGGAGAAAGAAAGTGCAACACCCGAAATGACAGAAATCCAGAACAGCGATAGTTGGCACAAGTACAACGGAATTTTGTAGATTTCATTCCCTTCCATGTGACCCCGCGTATGTATCAGACAAGAGCGCATTCGGTGGCCGGCTTCACAAGTGACCGACCAGGCATATGAGTGATGAAAATGTGATGAGACAGTGGGGGCAAGTGGTAATAAAGTTCATAATGTTTGGTTGTAGGGCAGTGACTATAATATATTGCAGGTGTCCTCATTTGACGTATGTATTGGTGATGTTATTGGTAGCGTATTCGGAGATCTTAACAGGAGCTCTTGTACGTCCTTGTGTCCCGCCTTCCTCAGGCTGGTCTGCACACTTCATCTACGGACGAGACTTGTGACGAAGACCCCCTAACTGTAGAGGTGGACACAAACTACAGCCACGTCTTCACGAACGCTTGACTTTGGACGGCCGACCTTAATGAGGGCCTCACATCGATTGGTTTGATGTCGGGCTGCGCACCACATCCCGCCCTCCAAGCGGCTCGTCTCGTCGCTGCTGTATCCACCTTTCCCGTGGACTGGGAAATTTCTCAATCGAACTGGGAACTGATGGCCTCTCTCTGAAAACTCAAGAAACCGTCCCAGAGATACCGAGCTCTGTCACCACTGACGGTGGTCGTATCTGGATTTAATTTAATTTAATTAATTTAATTATTTTTATTAAAGACCCGTCGGGGTCCCATTAAAGCAAGTAAAAATAAATTTACATGCGAATTTTAGACAAGGTAGGCAAAATCTGTACAAAGTGCAAGATATAGTTTTTGAGATTAGAAGT